CGCTTTCTTTGGCCTCTTCGAAACCTAAAGGAAACCAAGGGAAGATGCAAACAAACATATGCAGAACATGTTTGTTCCAAACGTGCGCTATCCTTTAAATTTGCTGCATTTAAGCAACAAGCAAGATGTTCAACCTTTTCCTAGGCTTTTGTGGCATGCATCCAGGCTTGAACGATCGAGGCTTCTCTTGTGGTGTTCGGCTGAGGCCAAACTTGATGATCTTCTGAGCCTGCCAAGGCACCAAAACGCACACTGGACAGGGCAAGGGGACAATTCAAGTTTGTTTAGTAGTTGTGGGTAGGATGTGCTGCTGGACTTGAACTCTTGATACCTTAGCCTGAGGAGCAGCTGGTGCTCGGGGGATCTCATCACCAGAACTTGGTTGCGGAACATATTCACTTGGCTGTGTGTAAACCAGGTTTCTGATGAAATACTCTGAGCCGGGAACTCGCTAAGATTCGCGACATCCGGGAGCTTCATGATGCAAGCCGGTGCAGAGCGGATTGAAGCCACCCAAACAATGTCTTGAGACAAAAATTGTAATAACCAAGAATAGTTCTCTCGCATGTTGCAGCTTCAAAGGACCATGCTAGGCTTCTCAAACCCCTTTCACTACAAGACACGAAACTTTTTTCCCCCTTCAAATCCCCATGTAGATGGCGCAATGACAGGCCATCTAAACCCCTCCAAGATCGATCTAAGTTGACCCATGTCAATTGACACCGGGATCACAGGTTGCAAGATTGAAAGCGCAATCGATCTCACAAAGAAGAAATTCAAATGAGCTTCCGCCATCTTTCATCAATAGATATGCAGAGCACATCACATTAGCAGCGCAATTGAGGGCACCCTTTGGAAAGGCAATGGCCTCTGGAGTGGATAGATATTCCTTCACCTGGGCGAAAGACACCCCTCAAAAATGCATGACATGGATTTGGTCTGGGCCCTCTACTCGCTGGTTCACTTCGGAAGCAAAAGTTGTTTTGTCCATGCCGTCCTTACAAACAAACATTCTCTCGAAGACGGAATCTGCCCCGAAAGCAACCCTCAGGTCGACACCTGGATGTCTGAGTCCGAGTCAGCTTGGGTGGCCTTCAAGGAAAGAATAGTAAGTGCATGTGCCACCAAAATTGCACTCACCAGATGCAATTGTTGTATTGATAGGTGGTAGATACTGATAGGTCACACCTGAAAGTCTTTGTACGAGCTCGTTTGGTACGCCTCAGGCTTGCATGTGGTGATAACTTCAGACCACCTAGAGTATTCCATATGTTCCCAACTAAATATGGATGCACTTGCCGGATATGGCAAAAACCAAGTGTCAGACTCGCAAGTTTGGATTCTGAACTTCCTCGAGGATTGTCCGAGTCCTGGGCAATGATACATTCTTACCCTGATTCAAAACACCGCGTTCTTGCTTGCCAGTTGTCTCACAAGTATTACAGCTTTTCACTTCGGCAAGGCTGAGAGGTTGGCAAAGGCGACCAGTCAAGGATGGCGTTCTGCAACAAGTTGCAACAAGTCTTTCAGAAGTTTTGGTAAGGGTTTCATAGCAACTCGGTGGCCTTGCGAACCAAGCCAGCTTCACTTCGGACCTCAGAAAAGTGGCGCTGCAGAAGGGGTTGGGAAGAAATGAAAAGTGAAAGTTGTCATGTTGGGGCGAAGGCAGGTGCGGGTGACCGCTTTGGGGTTCTTGAACGGCTAGAAGATGACGAAGACACCTGTTCAGTTTTGCAGTACCCCATATTTGAACAAAAACTGCAAAGGCCTGTCTTGACATTGATGGGCAAAATCTCTGAGATCCTGGAGAAAACTTAATCTAGTAGTGGAACGATGCTTTCAATCATCTCGCCTTCCCCACCAACTGTTCTCCAGAAAAACCTCAGGCCGATTTCCAGAGTGGAACTCAACACTAATGAGGAGTCACAAGTACCCGACTTCCAGAAAATATCTGATGGCGGCAAAAACTCTTCGAGCCGAATCAGCAATGTTCATATGGGTTCAACTTGACTTGTGAATGCACGCGGAAGCAACTGTGCTTTAAGTCGATTGAACCAGTGAAAGCACACCCGCCACGGGGACCCGAGCTTGCCTTCTTTCGTCTTCTCAGCAATCCTGAGGTTGAGAGCGCAATGAGTGCTTTGGAGATTTGGTCTCACAGGGGCCAGAAAAGGTCCAATATGGCCCAACAGGTTCATGCCTCTTCAATTCAGGCCTCTTCAAACTCTTTGTGTAGGTTTCCATGAAGATGCGATTTCTTGGCCCCCCCCGCTTCTCTCACCATGGCTTACGCAGCCTCTCAGTGTGACTGTGCTGGGCGGCACAGGGAGGAAGGATATTGTTTGCCCAAAAAACAGTTGCACAACTTTTTTTTGAAGAGCTGGCAGTATGATCTCACTTGGGAGGATATATCCTACCTGGAAAGAAGGTTTCACAACAGGATCTATTCGACTTGACTGACATGGGGAATCGAAAAAGGGAGGCAAGCCTCCCGCAGTGAGGTTCTTCAGTGAGCAACGGGGTAAGATGATGTGGTTTGAGAGACAGCTCATCTCATAAGTGGTATAGTTCCACAAAAAAACATCATCTCAAACCAAAGTGGCGATTCAAGCAGTGTCCTGCCTGGGAGAGACCCATGGAGATTCCATGGGTGGTGCGTTGAACCAGCGAAAAAACATTACATAACATTACCTTCTAGGCCTTTTGTCGTAAAATTGTTCTGGGTAGCCTCCTATGCCTTTGCTACATAGCCTACTAGGCCTTCTAAAACATACAGATTGTGCTGTAAATGTTGCCTTCTAGGTCTTAAACTTAGCATAACTTAATGGCAAAAGGCAAGTGAGCTACGAGCCCAATATTGCCAAGCGCGCTTCTGTTCAGCACAGGGCTTCTCAATTGATGAATCCCTGGGTAAAGTTATTGATCCAAAAACAATCCCTACTCCCATGAAACTTTGCATGGTGTAGGCCACATATGGTTGTTCCTGTTGCTTTTAACGTCTAAAAAAGCACCACACAGACGCTCGATGTTCAATTATAAGTAACCCAAAGTGATTGAAATACCCGGATGATACACCCCAACACGTTACTTGCTTTCTCACAAGACACTCCAATGGCCATTTGTTCAGCCATGTTTGCACAGCTTTCTTTCTCGCAAGTTCGGTTAGCCATACTTGTCCAAGTCCAACGTTTTTGGTCAGTTGTTTGGCCGTGCTTGTCCAACTTTCTTGGTCAGTTGTTGCGCCATGCTTGCTCAACTTTCTTGGTCAGTTGTTGTGGCACGCTGGTCAATGGTAGCAGAAAATCCAAACACCTGGATGCAAAGCAAACACCTGAACAAGAGGAATTGGAAATTTCTATGACCCTGCTCTTCCTCGGGTCGATGCTGGAACAATGGCTGCAGCTATGGGTGATCCAGCCACTTTCCTTGGTAGGGTGAAGGCGAGCAGCTGCTAAAGCAAACATTGGTGCACTTGACTGTCACTCTGTGTGAGGCAGTTTGATTCTAATATATTATCACCTATTCAATCCAAGGCCAATGGCTACTACGTGGAAACTCAAATCGATCAAGAAGACCCGACTTTGGAGGCCAGGATTTCACAATATCTTACCTTGAAGGCTGTGTCTTTCTTATGATTGATGCTGTTCCAATGTTGTATGTTGATGGATGTGTATTAAGCAGCGCGACTGAAAATGCTCTCTCTCAGGTGGCCATTGAACCTCATGATGGCTGTCAGCTTGCCACACCCATGGTCGAGGTGCCACTTGCTGTGGTCAGAAGTCTGAAGGCTACACTTGATGCATATTCCATTCTGGAGGACAGTGTATCACGGGCAGAGGCTGCAAACCAGGCTATGATGGATGCAATCACTGCTGTTGCGCCCCAAGAGCCTGAAGAGCCCCAAGAGGTTGCAAGCAGCCCTGAAGCCAAAAGGCTGTCAGAGTCAGAGAGGCACCGTCTCTTCCAACAATGTGAGAAACTGGAGGGGATCCTACATGAGCGTGAGGTGGCCAAGGCTACAAAGGAGAAACGCCGAAAGGCTATGGCCAAGCAGAAACCCAAAGCAGTGGCCAAGAAGAAAGCCCAATGCAAGCCAAAGGCAAAAGCAAAGGCACGGAGCGCTGCTGCAAAGCGCAGGGGAGCTGCCAAAAAGAAGGAAGTGGCAAAGAAAGACACAAAGTCAAAGGAGAAGAACAAGGACAAGGGCAATGCCAAGAGCAAAAGGCAGGATGACACTTCGAAGAAGCTGCACAGTGTTCCTTGGCAAGAAATGTGTGTTGAAACGTGTGAATCAGTGCTGGTTGCTTCTACTGGCAGTTGATCTTTCCAAGGTCTACTCAAAATTTTGGCATGAAGCAGCTGCAGAAGGTCGAGACCCTGCAGAGCGGCGGCAGATTGCATGTGCTGCTCGCCGCCAGCCACTGGGCTGCATGTTGCTCGATGTTTCTTTTTCACTTGAATGTGCATTGGATCATAGGGTCATACTGAATGTGCATTGAAGCAATATGATATGATATGATATAACATGTCGCTATCTGAGGTGGATCTTGGACAATGCTCCAACCGACCCCAAATGCCAACGGTATTTGTGAGGCCGCCATAAGGGCGGATCTTTGCATCCAAGGCTCGATGTGTTTTGCACACGTTGGAGCGGCTTGATGGGAAAAAAGGCTGGCAGGCTGCGACAGTGCATGGACATGCCATGCAGTCATATATGAGGACCCACTCTCCCATAGGAAAGGACCCACTTACCATTGGATTAGTTTACAGGGAGTTGGACTTGAGTGGTTCAAGACTGAGGAATGATAGGGTTTTGTTGCGCTTTGCTTGGTGCTTGAGGTTGTGCCCTGACAAGAGGAATCTAAGACAACAAGTGCCAGACATGTGAGTTCACCATTGGCATGGTGAGTTGTGGAGACATGATGATGTCACTTTCGGACATGGCCGATTGTCCTCAACAAGTGCAGTCACCGTGCGATGTTTCTTTTTTTTTTTCCGAGGCAAAAGAGGCAAGCCTACGATGAGAAGTTGGCCAAGGACCGAGAACGAGAAGAACTGGTCGAAGGAGGTCCCAGTGGCGGCTACTCCAAGCAACAGGTTCAAGCTCCGATGGCTCGGGTGTCCAAGCAGCATGTAGTGTAATATACCCCGAAAAACTATCGATTACATACCAGGACCTTCCAAGAGGTGTCTATAAATAGCCCTTTTTAGAAGGTGATACAGGGCGTCCCCAAAACCACCGTTCTTGGACCAGTGCTGGTCTACGTATACTTTAAATTGGCTCAGTCCATATCCTTTTCCTTCACGAACGACCGGCGACCGGCTCCCGAGCAGGGCCTGGTCGACGGGTTCACACCGGCTCGCAGGTGAAGACAGCACCCACCTTCGGCTCGAAGAGACAAGGGCGGATGCGCACGGCGCAACCTGGAAGTGGCCCCTACTGTCCTCAGGAGTGGATCCTTAGCAGAGCTGAGCTCCAAACCAAACCAAACCAAATGCGGAGCGTCTTATTTGGGGTTCAGGTTGGTTTCAAGGCTGTTTCAGATGGGCCTAGGGGTCGCCGTATGTTGCTCTAGTAACTCTAATATGTTTGTCTCAATTGATGTTGGTTGGTTGGTTGGTTGGTTTGGTTTGGTTTGGTTTGGTTGGTTGGTTGGCTGGTTGGTTGGGTGGTTTTGGTCTAAGCTTGAGGCTTGGTATTTCGCCCTAGCTTGGGGTGGAGCTGTTCAACCCGAACCGAGCCCCCCTGGCACCCACCCCAACGAACTTCTTCATTCCAGTAGTTGGAGCTCTGTACCGTTGTACCAATGGAGCTCTTGGAATTGACCAGTTCTCAGTTCAGGGAAGCGAACGTAGATGCTCACCAAGGAAAGGTATGGGCTCCGGGCAAGCCCTCCTGAAGATGCTCACGGATGATATCACTGCCGAAGAGAAGACTCAGAAGCTCTTAGAACCTGGGCATCAATGAGTTGCTGGAAATGAATCGATGTACTGACGGATACGACAGAGTCTGTAATTTCAGCATGCTTCAGCTTTTGCAAAACGGCAGGACACTGAAAGACGAGCTGGGTCGCCACAAGGTCCAGAGATCCTTATGCGTCTCAGGGTCCAGTACTTGGTTGTTTCATTGCCATTCTTTCCTCTCTGAGGAACAATATGTGGCCCTTCCGCGCTGCAAGGAAAGACGGCAGGAATGGGCAAGTGGTCTTAGAGGCAAGGACAAGCAAGTTTCTGAGCAGCAAGCGGGTCGCCAGGCGCCAGGGTATTGATTGGATGTCGTTGGTAGCATCAGGGCCCTTGCAAGACACATGGGGCTGGAATACCTACTACTGTTTGCATCAAAGGAACAACATCATCCAATGAGCCAATGGTCCACTTCCACGTGAGTTGGAACGTAAGTGTTCATCAGTTGGAGCGTACTGTCATGTGTTGTTCAACATCTCCTTCAGCATGGTCCTGAGCGGACCACTCAGCAGTCCTGTGAACTTGTTTAAACGTTTATAATGTTTATACTTGGGATGATGAAACCCACTGACTCATACAACCTGGGTTGGTCCAAACCTGAAGCAGTCAGTAAACAAGAACATCACTATTTTGAACAAGCCCTTTACTAATGATTAAAAGCAACAATGTTGCTCAAGATGGAGCAACGGGTCCTTAGAACCATCCGCTAATTACAGTATTTGCTTTGTAATTTGTAACCCCTTGAGCTTCCTTTGGGTAGGGGCGATGGCCTCCAACCTAATAGCGATATATAGCGATGGCCTCCACCCTAGTAGCGATGGCCTCCAACACACTATCACCTGATGATTGGAGGTGGGAAAACATGTAGCTATTTGTTCCTAGTAGCTTCTTGTTACTAGTAGTAAGGCACCTGTTACTACTAGCGTGGCACTTGTTTCTACTAGCTTCTTGTTACTAGTAGTAAGGCACCTGTTACTAGAAGCGATGCACTTGTTCCTAGTAGCTATTTGTTCCTAGTACATGTCAATGTAGATTCAGCATCCGTGGCGTACGTACACACGTACACACGTACGCCTACGCGTTTGAAACGGGCAGCACCGAAACGGAATCGGTCTGCTCGTATTTCCGGGTGGTGGTCCGACCAGAGTGTTGGATTGAATCAGCTCTAGAACCGCTGGTCTGCAGATCAGCTCTAGAAGGTATCATGTCAATGGTTCAGCGAAAACCACGGACTGGGATGAAACAGCAATTCTGAGCTTTGAGGATCTCAAAGCAGCAGCGAAGAAGAAGGAACAGCAGGAGCAACTGTTGATACTTCCATTTGTCTTGCATGTTCCATGCTGACCTAGCTGAGGCTTGAACCAATGAGTCCTTAATTAAGCTACTCAACCAGCTACCAAACATTCCTCGACTTGATACTCCGGACTTGAGCCTAACACCCCCTATACTGGAGCGCATGGGGAGGTCATGGCCTGCGATTGTCGAACCCACTGAAGATTCCAGGGTGTCCTGCTACTTAGAGTACCGTGCTACAGGAGGTGCTGACATGATCTGTTTCGCGTTTTGGTACCGTGGTTTCGTGGTGAGCTAGCCAAGTTCACCAGGAGCGTGCCAAGTGGTCTGCGTGGCTCAGTAATGGCGTGCAAGCCGCCAAGGCTGACAGCAAGCCTAAGGCCAAGGCCACTGGATGAAGTGGGACACGGGCTGAGATGGAAGAAAGCCAGGATTTCACAACTTTGAAGTTGGTAGCACCACTAAAAAGTGAACAGGCGGAACACAGTCAACCTTTATTTTCCCGGGAAACGGGTCGGGAGTCAGGTGACACTCAATTCCAGATGACCGGATGGTTTTTACAACTGAAACGGGTGCACTCCTCTAGGGCTACAGGGTCACTCCTCTAGGGCACCTGAAAGGGTCATACTCCATGCATCGTCACTTGTCAATAGAGCCCTTGAGAAGTTGAAGAAATGTTTTTACTTTAGCTCACTGACATAGATAGTCCTCCGAACCCGGCTACCTCCATGTTAGTAAGTCGCAGCGTAACTCATTTCCAGCAAAAGGAGACGCCATTTTGGGTGACAAATTAAATTGCTTCAGCTGCTTGATGTTGTTGAGCATCTTATGAACATATCCATTGTCAATCACTCTATAAAAGCTTTCAAGTTGAATCCAATGCAGCAAGCACTACCTAGCGCCCAAAATGCTTTTGAGACACACCGGCATTTGGTTTCGCGTTTCGCAGTGCAACCTGGGTTGCATCCCCCTGAGGCCAAATCCAAGTCCAAGCCTACTCCAAAGCCGCGTCCCAGCAAGATTCTTGACTTATACGACTTGGACGGGATGGTTTGAGGCTGCCCAGGAATTTCAGCTACCAAAACAACAATATCATGCACTTAGAATTGGGGTAGCGCTCTACCATCATATGGACATCGCTTCTGTGTGAGAGTTGTTCAATGCACGTGTCAATGTGGCAGTTCAAAAACATGCTACTGCCACACATACCTGCATATCCGCCACACCCACTGACACACTCTTGACATACTCCCGCCACACCTTCTGACACACCCTTGACATACTTCCTAGTAGACTAGTAGACAAGAATGTGTGAACATTGATTTAGATAACATATATTAGTATTATATTCATAGTGATATAATGTTGATGTTTTCAGTGCAATATTCATCGCACAAATAGGCGACGGGTACACATCACTGGTTGAAGTGATGTATGATATTTGATGTCGTATGTATGTTTTGCGTATAGACCTGCCATGGAATTGGGTAGCAATCAAGACAAAATCAGAATAGGATCTACAATTTCAAAGTCAGGATCCAACACACGGAACCACCCCCGCTCTCCTCCCAAAAATCACCTCCTCCCCACCCTCCAAAGGGGTGGCCTGGCTGTCCCGGCTGTTTCCTGAATCATGGCACCACCGGTCCTTTGGTCCTTCGGATGTCAGGGTTTTGCCGGGAGTCCATGCCATCCACGTACTCCTTTTTTATTACATAAAGGCTAACCTTTTTGTTCCTAGTGTAGCGATGCCAGGAGCCCCTAGTATCGTCCTTGCTCCTAGTAGCGATGCCAGGAGCCCCTAGTAGCTTCCTGCTCCTAGAACCATGAGGATTTCACGTGAGATTTAGAAAGTGGTTTCAGAGTAGATGGCACAATCCCTAATGTCGGTGGTTATTTTTTTGGACCCCCCTTCCAAAAGACATCTAGGCCATCGCTAGTGGGGTGGATGCCAATGCTACTAGGTTGGAGGCCATCGCTCTTAGAAACACAGAAAAAGGAAAAGGAGGAAAGGTCCCAACATAGATCCTCTTGTTTTGTGTGCTCCGCCCTCCAGGCCTGAGGACCTAGCGCCCGAGGAGTTGGCGCCGGATTCCGGGGCGGAGCCGCGGGTGGCCCAAACGGGCTAAGCCCCCGGAGAGCGAGGTCGAGCGATCGATCTGCCGCGCTCGCGATGCTAAGCCGAGCCAAAAAAAGAGAACGGACGTGGGCAGATGGACTCCATCTCAGATGGAGAGTTGGGGTGGGTGTTTTTTTGGGGGGTTCGGTCACAGGGGTGTGTTTTGGTATGTCCAATAGATCTTTCCAACACTACGGTACAGACAAATTAAACACGTTTAGACAATACAGTTTGTTATATTGCATTTTGCTTCCAGCGGTTCGCCTCAGAGATGGGGCCCAGATGATCCCGTTTTTGTGCGCCAAGAAACGGTGAACACTGAGCCGCCAAGCTGAACACCAAGACGTCATGTGATGTCGAAAAACAGTGCAGGATTGGAGGTCTCTCGTTGAGACCTCCCCTTCTGAACCATTTCAGTCCGCAGACCATCACCCAAGCCTGCCCCAGTTTTATAGAGGAAATTGCCTAAATGCCTTCATCTTCCAGCTATGGATCCCTACGGCATCTCGGGTTACTCTCCATCTCTACCGCCCAACTTGCATCCCAATCCAAGACTTGCAAGACTACCATCGATGTCTCGCCCTCTACCGCCCAACTTGCATCGACCATCCAGCCCGATATGTCCATCGATGAAGTCCCCGCCTGCTCGCCCCAGCCAAAAGCGAGGACTTTGGATTGATCACGGGTTCCAGAGCCTATGGCATGATGAGCTCCCTCGTGGTTCGTTTCGGCTTCTCGGGTGAAGAAAGGAAAGGGAAGAAAGGCTGAGAGATGTCGTTACACCAAGCTTGAGCTTATGCTGAGAGGAGGGTTGTATCATGGGATCCTCTTCAAAGCTCTGGGATTCCATGCATCAGATCTTTGGATGCCTAGGGGATGTCGGCTCCACGCCGACCATTGGATATAGATGTCATGGATGCAGGGAAACATGTTCCACCTAAATGCAACTTTGCTCAGATGCACCATTCTGAAAAGGGCTGCACCTTCGTTATCATATGCTTCAAAACTTCAATAGCTATGCCCCCAGGTTCCCCCACAACATTGACATGTTCCAAGTGAGAAACTCGGAGCATGTTTCGGATTCCTGAACAACTAGTACGTGAAGATTTGGGCATTGAAGCTGCATCCACTTCTGTTTTGTCAGCACGTCAGTCAGCACGTCCCATCCGGTTTGGCGACCCGTGGATGTGGTGAGATCCTGCTTGGAAGAGGATCGGAGGAAGCAGATGAGATGAATGAGTTGGGACTCGTGAGTTGGTCGATTTCGCTTCAGAGAAGACCAGCTGAAGCTGCTATGAGTTGGTATGTATGAGGCAATGAGTAGTTGGTATAGAGATGAAGCCTGATGAGATTCTTGAGGAATCCATTTCCTGAGACTTGTTGGATCGATCCAGACTTCTTTGGGAACCTCCGGCGGATCAGGAACGACATGAGCATTTTGAGCACAGGTACTGTAGTACTCGCCCACCACCAGCTGTTGGCTTCAATGCTCCACTTTCTTAGGTGAAGTGGTTCTACATCTGAGAAGCTTCTATACAGAACCTTCTCTATGTTTCTGACCCTCCACTGTCCTGTGATCTCTCCTTCTGCCTCCTGGTGCCACGTCCAAGGCCTTTCGACCTCCATGCCACCCCGGGGCCTCCTGACCTTGCGAGCGCCCAGTCACTCCCTCGGCCGGTGACCGGTTTCGTCGACCGTTGGAGGGACCCACAGAAAGTATGGTGTCTAATTAAACTTAAAGTAAATTAATAGCTTTTTGTTACTACTAGTAAGGCACTTGTTACTACTAGTAAGGTACCTGTTACTACTAGCGATGCACTTGTTACTAGTGTGTCCTCTTAAAGTTCAAAGATTATTTGATGTTTCTTGGATGTTTTTTTTTTTTTTTTTAAACATGGCTATAGATCTATGCAGGAAACAATCACAGGAAGGCTAATGCAAGTATGTCTGTCGATGGTCCTGTTTCTTGAAGTCCGATTCCATCAATTTCCGATGTCCGTGGCCTGTGACCTTTGTTTGCGTGGTGCTTAATGAGAAAGGAATTTGTAGCTGTTCATTCAATAAGTTAAACTTTTTGTTCAATCCACGGAGGATGTTCAACGGTTAGGATGCCTATATATGTAGTATATACTCTTGGGATATCTCTTGGATGAGCCTTGGACATTCTGTCAAATTATGCAGGTGCATGTGAGCCTGACAATGCGGATTCGGCGCAGGAATAACTTTGTGCTTTGTGTGTGTGCGTGTTGCCTGGCAACTTGGAGTAGGCACCAAAGTTAACCTATTGCTACCACTTAAACATAAATTGGAGCTTGTGCCAATGAGATCAATCATGCACCGCTATTCAATCATAGCTATCTCCCGTTCTCACTTTCATATACAAGCACATTTTCATGACTTGGTGTTGGGCGTTGGAGCGACACTGGTAGTTTTCAGCAGTCGAACAAGCCAAGCTTCCTCCATGTCCAATCGGAGTGTTCCGTTCCTGGCCTTTGCCTCAGGTGGATATGGATTCCCCTTGGTGTGCGTCGGATTCACAACCAGTCAGGCGCGTCATCCCGTCATCCCTTTCTTCGGAAAACCCAACTTCCCAAACGGACCCACCCAGTCAGGCTCCAACGGACTCTCAGTTCGCTATAGGGTTTTGACCCTCACTACTACTAGGATGTTGGACTGAAGCAACATGCAAACCGTAACAGTTGCTTCGGGTTGGTTCGGGTCGCCGGCAGTGAGTTCCAGTTCGCGGTTCGGTTCGGATCGGCTTTAATTCGGTGGGGTGGTCGGCGGAATCGGTCAGACCACGACAAGGCAGAATGCCACCAGTGGATGGTTCATGATGTGAGCTAATGGATAGCAATGGGTTGGTTTTGTTTGTCACGTGTGTCACAGGTTTATTGGTCTTGGACAAGAAAAAAGATGTGACACGTGACATTTGATATCCCAGGCCATCCAAGGTCACAGCGTTCAAGGCCTTGTGCTTCAGTGACTCGGACCGTGCTGAACTCGGACCGTGCAGCTCCAAGTTATTGAGCTGTTGATCTTCAAGTCTAATCCGAGCTATTAAACCAGCTAAGACTGCTGTTGTCTCTGAAGATCAACAGCTAAACTAGTGGATCCCAGCAATACCATGAATTGCTCGGTGGTCACTGGTCACTTCCAGCTCGACTCCAAACCAGTTTGATCCAATTTGGGCCCCTGGTTCCTTACTACTCGCAGCCAAGAGTAGTACTCTCCCTGGAATTAACATGGAAGTGGAAAATGGTCTTCCAAGGGGCCATTCTCCACTTCCATGTTAGTTCCAGGGAGTCTAAACTCGGGGCGCTGTGCCGTGCTGCGTACCGAACCATGCCAGGCAGGGTACGACTCGATGCCCTCTCGCACCGACTGTGAGGCACCGGTACTTTAAGTAGGGAGGGAGAGAGCGAGAGAGAGAGAGAGAGAGAGAGTGAGAGAGAGAGAGAGTGAGACAAGGACTGGGGGTACAACTTGGAAGGGCGGATTCAGAATGATTCAGATGGATTGGGTGCAGCTGATTCTTGAATTTGTGGAATCCAAGAAGCTTTGTAGATGTCTTTGGAATTTGCAATGCATTGCAAGGAATTCGTCTATGTCGGTAAGGGATGGCGTGGACGCGCTCTGACGGTCCGCTGCATCCAAGTGAGGGGGGCTTTATCAACAGTCTACGTTACAGAGGTTCCCCCGAAATGGTCAGAGCAAACAGTGCTGATGCTTCTGATGTGTCAGTTTGACGCCCGGTGACATTGTTGTCGCTGGGAATGCAAAGGGACAAGTAACAAGAAGCTACTAGAGCCAAGATATTTCACGTCTCAAGATCCCCTCCAGAAGTCATCAGGCCTTCTTTGGCCCTACAGCTCTGGCGAGCACAGGAGTAAAGCTCCACATTCATCCGAAGTCCTTTTCGAACCACTTAATGACTATGTGACTAGTGGACTCTGATCCTAGCTGGCTAGAAGCAACATTGATATCTTAATCAAGTTGCTCAAAAGTTAGCAGACAGGTCCCATCATATAACCTTTTACCATTTCTCGAGAGAAGAATCACTTGGACATACCTCGATATCATTCGATTCCATGTGTTTTTGTTGAGCTCCAACTACCTCCTGAGAAGATGGTTGGGGTGGGTGCCAGGGGAGGTCCAACCACCTGAGGATATGGTGAAGTTGCCCTAGGGGGACATCGGTCCCCACAATTTGAGCCTTACCGAGCGAGCCGTGCATCACCAGGGCGGCGACTCCGTACGACAGTTGTGCCTTGGCAGTGTGGCACACGTGGCTTGAGGAAGACAAAAGGCAAAGCTTGTTTGGCACACGTGGCTTGAGGATGTTAATTCAATCAACATAAATCAACTCTTTGTCATGATTGCTTGTCATGATTGCATACTCTTTGTCATGAACTCTTTGTCATGATTGCATATGTTGTACTTTGATTTCAAGGTCGTTTGTCTAAGAATATGAGTGCACGCGTGACAATTTGGGTAAACAGTTGTTTGATCCATTATATAGGGATTAATTGGAAAGTGCAGATATTCGTACATGAAACTCTTAAGGCTCTTAAGGATGCACATGACATGAGGTCTACCTCTATGGTTACCGAGCCTTCAGGTCCGGCCGGCGCATGGCGCTGCTACCTTCGGAGCTGTGCGAGCCCTCAGAGCAACGGGTTAGAAGATATGCGTCATGGTCCCTGCTCTGAGATGCGATCGGCACATGTAGCACTTCAGTGTAGCTAGGTGAAGGGTGAAGGGATGCAGCATCCATCCATCCATCCATCCCATCCCATCCCATCCCATCCCATCCCATCATCCGAATGGAATTCCCGATTTCTTGCCGCTTTGCTGTCGCGGCATGCTTCGCGACCCACGACCCTCGGGTGGACGACGAAAGCCCAGGCGGCTGACCTTGGGCCCGGCTGAAGCTGATCGGCTTGGGGGGCCCAGCGTTGGAGGCTCCGACTCTCTGACCCAGGTTGGAGCCATAGAGCTTCGGTTTCTCCGTTGAGGTCTCCAAACTCTCAGGTTTGTTGCTTAGGGTGGGTGCCAGATGGCTTTTCTC